GATGTGGGACTGGGCACCTATGACCTGCAGGGGAGGACTGAGGGGTGCGGGTGGGGGCGTGGGAGAGGGAAGATGGTCCTAGGCTCCTGGCCTCAGTCTCAGCCTCCCTGGACAAGCGGTTCTGTGTGTCTGTGGCCAGCTGCTGGTCTGCACACCATCAACCGTTCTCAACTCCCCTGCAGGGAGAAGGCCTCCTGGGTACTGTCCTTCCACCCGTGCCAGCCACCCCCCGCCCCACTGCTGAATGAAGGCCGTGTCAAGCGCTGCTTCTCCCTCCATCCCTCCCAGCCACAATTGCTGCTGGGCGGAGCCCTCCGTAGTGCTGTGCTTGTCCCGCCTACCACCATGCCCCCTCCTCCCGGCCCTCAGCAGGTGGGAGGGGCCAGCGGCCTCTAGGTCAATTGCATCCTCCATTTAGCCAAACCACTCCTCCCAGTGGAATGGAGTTCCTGCCAGCACTGCCCTGCTCCATCGTCTGTGTCAGCCGGCCCAGCCCACCTGTAGGGCGGAGGAACCCACCCAGAGCCGCCTCTGCCCTTGCAAACCCGCACCAGCTACTGGTACCCATCTCCAAGGGCATGGCACTGCTCCCCGTCCATTCATCAGCATGGGCTGCTCTTGGCTTCCCTCGAGGGTCAAGAAAGCGACTCTGTGCCTCTCAGATCCATTGAGGTGGCCGTGTGCGCCCCAGTGTGGGACAAGGGCGTTGCCTTCATTGCTTGAAGGTGTGCATGAAGGGTGGATCACAACAGATGCTGGGGAGCAGAGGCAGCCTCGCCTTTTAAAGATCATCCCTGGTGGGGGCCCGGAGGGTGGTCACACACCCTCCCCGCTTCACGCTGCCACTTAGAGTGATCTTCCCAGAGATGCTGGAGTTGGCTTCCTTAGCCCCAAACTTTGGAAAAGAACTAGACACACCAGACTCCAGAAACTGCAAGACGTACACTCTAGGAATAAAAGTCACCCTTCTGTTCACTTAGCAATAAGAGGGATCTCTTCCTACTTAACCCTGACTGCTCCTACCCCCCCTTAGTGTAATGCATTAGCCTGACCACAGGTGGTCGCTGTAGGCTAATGGAAAATACCCAATGGCGGGCAAAGCCCCCCATCAGATGCATGAATGTTTGCGAATGTCGGCTGCCACTGCCCCACACGTGACCTTACAGACCCCTCCCTGCCCACTCACCCCCAGTCTCCACCTGAATACAACTTGCTCCAAGGCTGGTGACTTGTGGGCCATTAATCTACAACCAATTCTTGTTGAAGCAAGAGGTCCACGCCTACGGGATGCAAGAATGACGCCTTTCTTAAACATTACCGGTCCCAGCCACCCTGATGGTGACATTCTGGTTAAATTTCCCGACTGAAAACAAGCCAACAGACACTGAGAGTGGTCGTGTAAGCGTTGCTAGACTTTTTGTGTTGTGCAACTAAACATTGCTGTTTGAACAGTAATCGCCTGGCCTGTGTGTCTTATTTCTACTCCTTGCTCCTTGAATAAATCAGTCATGACATCATCTAACCTGTGTGGAGGGTGAGCCAGGGACCACATTGCTAAGAAGTGGCCACAGAGAGGGGCTGGTTAAGCCACCATGCATAGCTCTGGCATTGCATATTGGAGCACCACTTTGAGTCCTGGCTGCTCTGCTTCCAATCCAGATCCTTGCCAAGGCACCTGGGAAGGCAGCAGAAGATGGACCAAGTACTTGGGCCCCTGCCACCCATGTGGGAGACCAGGATGGAGTTCCTGGCTCCTGGTTTCAGCCTGGCCCAGCCTTGGCTGTTGTGGCCATTTGGGGAGTGAACCAGCAGATGGAAGATATCTCTGTCTCTCCCTGTCACTCTGCCTTCCAAACAAATTTGTATGTATCACAGCAGCCACAGATAGTAGAGATGGGAAAACCTTGTGAGGTCAGATCCTGGCCATTATTCCCTGGGGTGTTGTATCCATAGTGAGGGATGAACCTTGAAAGCTACTGTGCTTTTTCTTCTGGAATGAAAACCATATTTCTTACTCACTTAACTTCCCAGCTTTTCTTCCTCTTCTTGAAGGCATAAAGACCAAGTCTATGAACACTGGACCATCTTGCTTAGACACATGCCTATCTTAGAGTGAATGTGTTAAGAACTTAAACCTAAGCATCAGTTTGTATTTAAAAAAAACTTTATTGGGGCCGGCAATGTAGCATAGTGGGCTAAGCCTCTGCCTGCAGCACAGGTATCCCATATGGATGCTAGTTCATGTCCTGGCTGCTCCTCTTCTGATCCAGCTCTCTGCTAATATGTCTGGGAAAGCAATGGAAGATGGCCCAAGTGCTTGGGGCCCTGCACCCACATGGGAGACCCAGAAGAAGCTCCTGGCTTCTGATTGGCCCACCTCTGGCCATTGCAATCATTTGCATTTTGTATATACATATTTAGGAACAGTGATTCTTCAACAAATAATATGAAGAAAAAAACTATTCCTCAATAGTCGAGACAAAGGCTATTTAGAATCATTGCATCTCGAAGTGTCAATTTCACTCCTATAGATTACCTTTTAGGTACTCTATTAGTTACCACAGATCAGAGAGAACATATAGTATTTGTCTTTTGGGGATTGGCTTATTTCAGTAAGTTTAATGGTTTCCAGTTGCATCCATTTTGTTGCAAAAGGATTTCATTTTTTTAATTGCTGTGTGATATTCCACAGTGTATATATACCATAATTTCTTTATCCAGTCTTCAGTTGATGGGCATCTGGGTTGTATTTTTCTTGAACTTAAAGTAACTCTTCCTTTACTTGGGCACACACTCTCAAAGCCAGCAAACAGCACAACCCTCACCTGGGTAGTGCTTCCCTGGATTTGAATGTGACAACATACACACCATGTCTGCAGCCTCACCAGTCAGTAGGTGAGTGCATGGTGGAGGTGACTGGTGGGAAATGGTTTGAAAGGGTCTAAGTTGGAGGGAAGGGGCCAGCGCTGTGGTGTAGGAGCGTAAGCTTCCACCTGCAGTGCCGGCATCCCATATGGGTGCCAGTTTGAGTCCCAGATACTCCACTTCTGATCCAGCTGCTCGCTAATGCACCTGGAAAAGCAATGACGATGGCCCAAGTACTTGGACCCCTGCCATGCATGTGGGAGACCCTGATGAGGCTCCAGGCTCCTAGCTTTGGCCTGGTCCAGCCCCGGCTGTTGTGGCCATTTGAGGAGTGAACCAGCAGATGGACAATTGTCTCTTTCTGTCTCTCCCTCTCTCTAATTCTGACTTTCAAATAAATAAGTACATTGTAAAAAATAAATAGGCGGGAAATGGGTGAGAAGGCAGTGAGTCGCTCAAGTAGAATGACAAAAGTACTAGAGAGGCAATGCAACACTGAGATGGAGAAAAGTGAGATTTTGGTGAACGTAAAATATCACAGTTGCGAAAACTCAAGTGTACTTCTAGTCCAGTGCTTTCATGCAGATGTGGGAAGGAAGTGCACAGAACATTTTCTTCTTTCCCAAGGTGTCATTTAGTTACCAGTGGTGGGCGGGGACTAGATCTCAGGGCAGTCTCAGCTATACACACTGTACACCATGGCATTTCATTTGTTCTAATACGATCTGTACTTATTTTTTTCCTGACATCAGGATGCATCTTAAATCCAATGGTGTGTCAGTCTATTTGACAACGCCTTTTCTTAGTGGGATACTAAAAAGTGCAACCTATACTTGACAACATACATATAGTAGTCACTGGAAATCTCTAGTGTTATTCGAGAAGCTGAAACTCAGTAAGAATATGGTCCCGTGTATCTCACTACATCCTCACAGCTGTTGAATCCAAAAACCCACAGCTGCTCACCAACTGTCACTTAGTCAATCGCTGACACCGGGGTGGGGGAAGAATGGTATCTAATCGCCAAGCACAGAGCAAGGAGTACAGGGGGCTGTAGCTTCTTTTCTGGGCTCCTTGAGGGGAAAAGGGTCAGGAGTGTGGCAGACTGGGGTCAGGGTTGAGAGGAGCCTGCTTAGCTCACGTGCAGGCCTCTGGTTGGACGACAGTACTGGTGGCTCTCCTTGGATTGGTCAGCCGTGTAGTACGGGCTGGGAAATACTGATGATGGCAGAGTGGGCTCGGAACATGCAGGTGGGGCTCACGCCCTGTGGCTCCCGAACAATCCCTCAGGCAAGATGTTCTCCATAGAGGCGGCAAATGACCCCATGTGTCCTGGGATCTGGGACCCTGTGAGGCAGGCAGGACCCAATGCACTACTCCCCCTATTTCGGGAGTCGAAGAGGGCAAAGACACCTGTAGCTAAAGGAGGGAGGTAAGGGCCTGTGGCCGGCGCGGGGCTGACACTCCCTGGGGTCTGCATCAAAGCCTCTGCAAGGGGCTTGGTTCACAATCGCCCCCTGGAGGGGGCAGGGCAGGCATGATGGACAGCACAGAGAGAAGGCTCTCTTGATCCCAGAAATTCTGAGACAGTCGATCCCAGGCCTTCTCTGGAGAAGAAAGTTCTGGGGGCCGGAGCAGAGGTAAGGAATCCTAACAGGGGGACGCCACGGCCGACTTCAGCTTGGATTCCCAACACTGCCAATGCGAGCCATACCCAGCCATGCCGGGGCGCCAACGCAGGAGCCAACACTGCAGGCGGGGCGTCGAGGCCGCCATCACCTAATTTCTTTACCAGGTTTCCCACCTGCTGGTTCACTTCCCAAACTCCCCCGTAACAGCCAGCGCTGGAGCCAGGCACTCAGTCTGGTTCCTCCATGGGAGCTGCATGGACTGAAGGACTTGGGCCAGCCCCTGTGCACACTGGCAGGAGGCTGGAATGCGAGCGGAGCTGGGACTAGAACCCAGCCCCTCCGCTGTGGGACGCAGGCTTACCAAGCGGCGGCTTTCCAGCTGCGCCAAACGCCACTCAGCACCTTCGCGCTCTTGGGGCGGGGTCAACTCCCTGGACCCGCCCCCTCACGTGACCCGCCCACGTGACCCGTTCGCCGCGCCCACTCCTGGTCCCTGCGCCACAATCTCCACCCACTCCCCAGAGCCCCGCCCCGCGGCTTGGCGCCAGGCCCCGCCCCTTCCTCTCTGAGGGGCGGCGGGAGGCGGGATGGCGGTGAATCAGAGCCACACCGAGGACCGCCGCGGGCCCGTCATCCCTTACGGCGAAAGGTGCCTCGGGGACGCCCAGGTTCCGGTCGGGGAGGAGCCCCTGCGCCTGGCAGGGACTGCCCGCCCTCCTCGCGGGCGCCTCCCCGGGGCCGTCGGGGCCGCGAGGCGGCGGCGCGCCGCGCACGTGTGAGGGCCGAGAGCGCCGCGAGGACGCGCGGTCGTGAGGTGCCGGCGGCCCGCACGCGCGATTCGGCAGCCGGCGGTCCCGGGCGCGACCCGCCCCCCCGTGCCCAGGAGCGGGGCCCGGCGTTTAGGGAGGCCACAGGAGGCACGGGGGTGTTCTGGAAGGATCTCTGCCGCGCCCGCAGGGCTGCCCCCCGCCCCGGCCTGGCTCGCGCTCGGTGCCCCGCGGCCAGGGGAGCCGGCCTGGAGGGGACGTCCTGCGCGGGCGGCTCGGAGCCCGCCCAATGCCGTCTCCTCTGCTCCCGCCTGGCTCGCTCCGCACCGCGTGTCCCCGCCGTGCCGCGCCCGGGCCAGTAGGCCTGCGTTTGTCCGAGAGCCCGGAAGCGGCCCCCCAGCGCCGGGGCCGCGTCTTTCCCGCCTTCTGGACACATGCGTGCCGGGGGGTGGTGGGTGCTCGCTGCTCCCGAGCGGCTGCTCCGCCGCCGCTTGTCCATTTTTTGGGGGGCGGGGGGCAGGTAGGAACCGACCACCCCCACTCCAGCAGCGCCCTGGGCGCGTCACTCTCCTGCCATGAAGCTGTTTCTGGTCTGGTGTTGAGGCGGCTTCGCTCTAGCCGCGGGGGTGCATCCCTGCTTTGCTGCTTGTTGGGGCCAGGGATGAAGCGGTGCGGGTGTTTTGGTTTTGTTTTTAGTTATAAGACGTTGATTTTATAGTCCTTTGCATGATCTTTATTGGAGCCATTCTGTGCTCTTGAATATGTAATAGTATTTATTAAACATTTAAATATGGCAATCGCTGTTCCAAGAGCTGTACACTGCTTTTTTTTTTTTTTTTTAAGATTTATTTATTATTTATTTGAAAGGCAGAGCTACAGAGAGGCACAGGCAGAGAGAGAGAGAGTGTGAGAGAGAGAGAGGTCTTCCTTCCGCTGGTTCACTTCCCAGGTGGCTGCACGTCCGCTGTGCTGATCCGGAGCCAGGAGCTTCTTCTGGGTCTCCCACGCAGGTGCAGGGGCCCAGGCACTTGGGCCATCTTCTGCTGCTTTTCCAGGCCATAGCAGAGAGCTGGATCGGAAGTGGAGCAGCCGGGACTCAAGCTGGCGCCCATATGGGACGCTGGCGCTGCAGGTGGCAGCTTTACCTGCTAGGCCACAGTGCTGCTCCCGGACAGCTTTTTTAAGATTCATTTATTTTGAAAGGCATTTACAGAGAGAGAGAGAGAGAGAATCTTCATTTTCTGGTTCACTCACCAAATGGCTGTAATGGCCAGGGTGGAAGCCGGGAGCTTCTTCCTGGTCTCCCACTTGGGTGCTGGAGTCCAAACATTCGGTGCATCTTCTGCGTTTTCCAGTGGAACTAGAAGGATCGGAGGTGGAGCTGCAGGGACTTGAGCCAGAGTCCATGTGGGATTCAGGCTCTGCTTTACTTTTTTTCTTCCTCCAAAAGAAGCCTTTTATTTAAGGACTACAAACGTCATGCATTTCATGGTACAACAGTAGGAATACAGTGATTCTTTCCACCATACCTTCCCTCCCACCTGCTCTCCCACCCTGCCTCCTCCTCCCTCTCCCATTCCCAGCCCCATTCTCCACTAAGATCCATTTTTGGTTAGCTTTATACACAGAAGACCAACTCGATACTAAGTAAAGTGTTCAACAATTTGCAAGAGGAAAAAAAATGTTCAACAGTGGAGGCAAGGGCTGTTCAAAGTCATTGCATCTTGAAGTTAATTTCATTTTTAAGAAACTTAATTAACATTTAAAAGAAGCACCCAAGAATGATACATCTTTTGGGAGCACTTAGACATAATACAACTCTTTGAGGACAGCGGTCCTGCATGGGAAGTTTGTGCACAGTGACTCCTGTTGTTAATTTAACAACACTCTTAGGTCTGATGTCAGTGATCGTCTGAGGCTCTTGACATGAGCTGCCTAGGCGGTGGAAGCCTTTTGAATCCACAGACTCTGTCAGTATTTAGAAAAGGCCATAAGCGAAGTGGAAGTTCTCTCCTCCCTTCAGAGGAAAGAACCCCCTTCTTTTTTTTTTAATTAATTTTTTTTATTTTTTTATTTTTTTTGACAGGCAGAGTGGACAGTGAGAGAGAGAGACAGAGAGAAAGGTCTTCCTTTGCCGTTGGTTCACCCTCCAATGGCCGCCGCGGCCGGTGCGCTGCGGCCGGCGCACCGCGCTGATCTGATGGCAGGAGCCAGGAGCCAGGTGCTTCTCCTGGTCTCCCATGGGGTGCAGGGCCCAAGCACTTGGGCCATCCTCCACTGCACTCCCTGGCCACAGCAGAGAGCTGGCCTGGAAGAGGGGCAACCGGGACAGAATCCGGCGCCCCGACCGGGACTAGAACCTGGTGTGCCGGCGCCACAAGGCAGAGGATTAGCCTAGTGAGCCGTGGCGCCGGCCAAGAACCCCCTTCTTTGATGGCCCCTTCTTTCCACTGGGGTCTCACCCCCCACCCCGAGGTCCTTCATGTGGGACATTTTTGCACAGTGTCTTGGCTTTCCATGCTTGCAATGCTCTCGTGGGCTTCTCAGCCAGACCAGGATGCCATAAGGGCTGGTTCTGGGCATTTGAAGAATGAATTCAGGGTTGGGAGGTCTCTGGTCCCCGTCACAGTTTCTCTGCCTTTCAAATGATGAAAAAAAAAAAAAAAGATGATTCCTCTGCTTTCTCTTCAATGAAGAAGGCTCGATCAGTGCTCTGGTTTCCTGGATGGAAAGGATTTTAAAGAAATAGCTTGAAATGGGGAAGATTGGTTCTAGCTTGACTTATTCCTAGTCACAGTGCACACTTGAGAAATTCTTCACAGATTGGCTGTGTTTGGCAGAGGTTTTCCCAGCTGATAAACCATTAATACATGGGCCAGACTCTACTGTAAAAAGGAAAAAAAATCGAGCTGTTTGAATTTATCCATGGTTTAAAGCTTGCAGGTAGTATCATATGTTATTGTGGAATAATGAGGAAAAGGCAATTTTTACCCCCAATTCTAGCACTCATAATATTTGTATTTTTGGTCTGAGTCTTATGCCTTGTTCCCTGTGGAAATAAGCTCGGGGTTTTCTTTTCCCAATTGCTTTGTAACTTGTTTTCCTTGTTGACTGATGTTACGATATCAGGACTGCTTTCCAGAATCAATATCAGCATCATTATTTTCTTTTCTTATTTATTTATTTATTTTTTTGACAGGCAGAGTTAGTGAGAGAGAGAGAGAGAGAGAGAGAGAGAGAGAGAGAGAGAGAGAGAGAGAGAAAGGTCTTCCTTCCATTGGTTCACCCCCCACATGGCCGCCACAGCCGGCACGCTGTGCCGATCCGAAGCCAGGAGCCAGGTGCTTTTCCTCGTCTCCCATGCAGGTGCAGGGCCCAAGCACTTGGGCCATCCTCCACTGCCCTCCCGGGCCACAGCAGAGAGCTGGAATGGAAGAGGAGCAGCCAGGACTAGAACTCAGAGTGCCAGCGCCGCAGGTGGAGGGTTAGCCAAGTGAGCCGTGGCGCCGGCCAGGATCATTATTTTCAATAGCTGATATTCCTGTGTACATAAATTTTGATTCAGCCCCCAATATGAGATATTCTGGGATTCTTTTCGTCATTACTAAATGATGAAAAAACATGTCTGCAATGAACACTTCTCAAAATGTATCTTTGTCCACCTGTCATAATGTTTTTTTGGGGGGATATACTCCCCAAAGGTAAATTGTGAGGTCAGAGAACATAGACTTTTTAGAAAAGAGATTAAAGGGATGGTGCTGTGGCATAGCAGGTAAAGCCGCTGCCTGAAATGCCGGCATCCCATATGGGCACTGGTGTCGGTTCAAGTCCTGGCTGCTCCACTTCTGATCCAGCTCTCTGCTATGGCCTGAGAAAGCAGTGGAAGATGGCCCAAGTGCTTGGGCCCCTGCACCCACATGGGAGACGGAAGAAGCTCCTGGCTCCTGACTTTGGATCAGCACAGCTCCAGCTGTTGCAGCTATTTGGGGAGTGAACCAGTGGGTGGAAGACTCCCTCTGCCTCTCTCTGTAACTCTGCCTTTCAAATAAATAAATCTTTAAAAAAGAGATTAAAAATATAAAAATCCTTGTCAAAGTATATGTGTATTAAAATATATTGATTGCAAAGTTGTCCTACAGAATTCTGTGCATCCACATCTTTCAGGATTCTGTGCACCCATCTCTTTCCTTCCCAACAACTCTCCCTTCCCCCAGCCTCTGATAACAATCATCCGGTTTTCTGTTTCTATAAATGGGGCTTTAGATACCTCATAGAGGTGGAATCACACCATATTTGTCTTTTTGTGATTGGCTTCTTTAACTTACATAATGTCCTCACGGTCCACCTATGTGGAAGCGTGTGGCAGACTTTCTTTTGAAGGCTGAGTAATGTTCCGTTGCGTGTACATGCTGGTTTCAGTCACTCATTGGTTGATGGACATTTAGCTTCCTGCAACCTCTTGGGGCCTGTGAACAGTGCTGCTACAGACACAGGTGGGCAGAAAGCTCTCTGACTTGTTGCTTTCAGTTCTTCAGCTGTATGCTGGGAAGTGGGACTGCCGGGTCATCTGATACGTTGTTGCACCTTTGATTTTGTCTGGGGCACCTCCATGACGCTTTCCTGGCAGCTGCACAGCTTTGCAATTCTGCCAGTGGTGCACAGGTTTCCAGTTTCTCCACATTCTTGCCAGCACTTGATTTCTTTTTCTTCTTTTAATAGTAGCCTTCTTAATGGATATGTGTCGCTCCCCCTCTTCGTGGAGGAACGACACAGGACCCTGCGCTGTTCTTTCGTCTGCTCGGCCCTCCCCGGGTTTGCTGCTGGTTCTTCCCGGGTTGGCTACCGACCCTTCCACCTCCGTGGAAGGGCGGTTCCCCCTGCCACATTCCCCACTTCCGCGGGGGAGCGGCACACCGCCGGCCGGCTCTCTCGGGGGCTGCACAGGTGTTCCCCTTAGATGTTCCCCTTAGATGTTCCTGGTGCATGCCGTGTCTCTCCTCCTTTATAGTCCTCCTCCGCCAATCCCAACTCGGCTGCCCACACGCCGAGTACGCTGCTCTCCTCCAATCAGGAGCAGGTCCTGCTGTTTATTGGTTGAACTGGAGGCAGCTGGGTAGAAGCTGTTTTCTCCTCTCCCAGCGCCATATTGTGGAAGAGCAGATGCATAGAATAAGTCTTAATTCCAGTAACTTAGTCTAGTCCGAGTTGCTCCCCACAGATATGAAGTGGTATCTAGTTGTGGTTTTGACGTGCATTTCACTGATAATTAATGATGAAAATCTTCATAGCTTGTTAGCCATTTGTGTGTTGTCATTCAAGTCCTTTACCCACTCTTTGATCAGCTTATTTGATTTTTGTTGTTGAGTTGTAAGAGTTCTTTACATGTTATGAATATTAGTCCTTCATCATATATACAATTTACAAGCATTTTCTCTTGTTCTCTAGATTGCCTTTTACTGTGTTGACTGTGACATTTCCACAGAAGTTTTTTTTTTCTTTTAAGATTTATTTATTTATTTATTTGAAAGAGTTGTAGAGAGAGAGAGAGAGAGGTCTTCCATCCACTGGTTTACTCCCCAAATGGCCACAATGACCAAGGATGGGCCGTGCTGAAGGCAGGAGCCAGGAACTCTATCCCAATATTGCATATGGATGGCAGAATCCTAAGCGTCTGTGCCATCTGCTGCTGCTTTCTCAGGTGCATTAGCAGCGAGCTGGATCAGAAGTGGAGCAGCCGGGACTGGAATTGGTGCCCACAGGGATGCTGGCCTGTGCTGTGACATTGTTGTGCCATCACATTCTGTGTGTCACCTGCTACTTACATTATGATCTGTATTTGTGTTTTCATTTGTTCTTTCAATAAAATTTAGTAGCACTGCTCTTTGCTAAGGCTACAGTAGCAAGGAAGGCAGACACATATTTGTTATGTGTGTTCATTTATTCAGTGTCTTCCCTAATAATCATTAGGATGGATATGTTATCATTATTAAGAAAGAAAAAAACCAAACAAGTTTCTACCAGTGACGCTAGAATCAGTCCAAGCTTTCCAGATTAAGAGTGAGGGGGAGGGGCCGGCACTGTGGTGCAGCAGTTAAAGCCATGGTCTGCAGCACCAGCATCCCATAGGGGCACTGGATTGAGTCCTGGCTGCTCCACTTTGGATCCAGCTCCCGGCTAATGTGCCTGGGAACGCAGTGGAGGATGGGCCAAGCCCTTGGGCCCCTGTATCCACGTGGGAGACCTAGAGGAAGCTCTGGCTCCCGTCCCAGCCAAGTCATTGTGGCCATTTGGGGAATGGGTCAGTGGATGGAAGACCTCTGTCCCTCCTTCTCTCTCTGTAACTCTGTCTTTCAAATAAAGAAAGAAATCTTAAAAAAAAAAAAAAAAGAAGAGGAAGAAGAAGAAGAAGTGAGGGAAGAGTGTGAGGCTGACGAAACAGCCCATCAGAGGGTGCTGGGGCCTTAGCTTCCGTAACAGGAAATTTCCAGCGGCACAGAACTGATACTGACTGCACGAGAACTCTCAGAACTGACGAGCAGACACTGAGAACAGGAGTGAGCTGGGCAAGGAGATGACTCCCACGGTGAAGAGGGAGCAGAGTGAGCGTGAATTGGAGGATAAGATCGTTTGAGCTCCTCTTATTGCAGTGGCCTGTAGTAACAGTAGTAGCAGCAGCTAACGCTGAGTGCCTGCTCTGGGCTAAGAGCTTCGTGTGTGTCATCCCGTGTGACCTCCAAATCGTGTGCCGTCTGCCCTTCCTTCCACAGTCTCTTGGAGCAGTGTCCAGGTGTGCACCTCTCCTTCCCACAGCAACCGCAGGGCTCCAGCCTCTTCAGCGGCACAAAGAGCGGGACGCTGTTTCTCACTTCCTACCGGGTAATCGCTGCTTCTCTTGTGATCTGCTGATTAACTCTACATGTGTTTTCCTAAAAATGGAGAGAAGTTACCATTGCTTTTCAAAGTGTCTCAAAGGCATTTTCACTTTGGGATTCTCTGTGTTGAAGAGTGATGGGGAAACAATGGGTGATCAGAACCCCAGGGCAGCCCTACCTTGCTGTGAGTCTCAGTCCGCGGCTGAATTCTGCCTCCCTTTTCTGAAGTCTCTTTTCCCTCTTAGGTGATTTTTCTGACTTCACACTCAGTCAGTGATCCCATGTTATCTTTCATGATGCCATTTGATCTGATGAAGAGCTGCACCATTGAACAACCAGTCTTTGGTGCAAACTACATTAAAGGAACCATTCATGCAGCTCCCGATGGTAAGTACCCCCCTCAGAAGCATGGGTATTTTCCTCAGAAGCTTCTAGAAGGTTTCAGATTCAGACGTGCTCATGTTAGAATTCAAGTGAAAGCTGCCATTCTGCTCCGGGTCTCTGCCATTCTGCTCTCGGCGTCTGTGGCAGTCCTCCTGTCGTCAGCTGCGCCAGCCTCAGTGAGTGTGTGCTGTTCCTTCCCCAGGTGGCTGGGAGGGACAGGCGACGTTTAAATTAGTCTTCAGAGCCGGAGGTGCCATCCACTTTGCCCAGCTGATGATGGAAGCGGCCTCTGCTGGTGAGTGGTGCTGAGAAAGATACTAAGCACGTGGGGTTTTGAGGCTTGTGAGAGGCCAAGGTTTGCTGGCTCTGTGGCCAGGCAGTTATTTGCACACGTATTCAGCAGGCATTTCCTGAGCCTACCTACGATGTGCCAAGTACCAGCCCCGTGCTAGGACCACAACGATGATCCTGCCCCTCCCTGTCCTGAAGAACATTGCAATCTAGTGGCAGCTGACAGGCACCTAAGTGACTAATTATAAATGAGAGTCTTTTGTCCATTAAAATATTTATTTTTATTATTATTTTTTAAAGATTTATTTATTAGTTTGAAAGGCAGCGATACAGAGAGGCAGAGGCAGAGAGAGATCTTCCATCCACTGGTTCACTCCCCAATAGCTGGAGCCAGGCTGATCTGAAGCCAGGAGCCGGGAGCTTGCTCCGGGTCTCCCACACAGGTGCAGGGGCCCAAGCATTTGGGCCATCTTCTACTGCCTTCAAAGGCCATAGCAGAGAGCTGGATCAGAAGTAGAGCACTGGGTCTCAAACTGGCACCCATATGGGATGCTGGCACTGCAGGCGTCAGCTTTACCAGCTATGCCACAGCACTGGCAAAAAAATATTTATTGATATACTTTCATTTATTTGAAAGGTATAAGCAGAGTGGGGGGTGGGGAGGTAGAGAGAGTGTTGGTTCACTCCCCAAAAGCCCACAGGAACTGGGGCTGGGTTGGCTTAAACCTGGAGACAGGAGCTCTGTCTGAGTTTCCCACGTGGGTGGCAGGGACTTAGTGCTTGAGCCATAACCTGCCGCCTCCCAGGCACATTAGGATTGGAAGCAGACACAGAGGTGGGACTTGATCCTAGGCACCTGCTATGGGATGCAGACATCCTAAACGACAACTTAACCTGCTGTGCCACAACACCCACCCCTGTTGTCCATTTAAATGCTGGACTGGGGGAAGGCGTGTGGCACGGTGGGTAAAGCCGCTGCTTGAGATGCTCACATCCCATATTGGAGTGCTGCTTTGAGTCCTGGCTATTCCATTTCTGATCCAGCTTCGTGTAGTGCATCTTGGGAGGCAGCGGATGATGGCTAAAGTGCTTGGGCCAGTGGGAGACCTGGATGGAGTTCCAGGCCGCTGGCTTCAGTCTAGCCTGTCTCTGATTGTGTGGGTGTTTGGTATGTGAACCAATGGATGGAAGATCTCTCTGGTGCACACGCCTCACCCCCAGCCCCTGCCCAGTCACATTGCTTTTCAAATAGGTGAAAATAAATTAATAAACAGAATAACCTTAAAAAAATACACACTAGCATCATATGCCCATTGATCAGTCTGTGCTTCAGGTCTGGGAGCCACGGCTGCCTTCACTGTTCTTTGTAGGACACGGCTTTTATCTTCTCTGTTCTGGTCTTCATTTGCTTCTCTTAGGTTCAGTCCCTGTCTTTCCTGAAGCACAGTAGAGATATTGACTGTCAGGCCCTACAACACTGACCTAATGGATGTGCCAGAGAACTCTTTCCAACCTTGACTGTAAATAATGCTTTTGTGATATGTTTTTATCCCATCCAGCCTCACCTCATTGCTCTCATTCTCTCACTTTTTTTTTTTTTTTTTTGACAGGCAGAGCTAGACAGTGAGAGAAAGAGACAGAAAGGTCTTCCTTCCATTGGTTCACCCCCCAAATGGCCGCTACGGCCCGCGCTGCGCCAATCTGAAGCCAGGAGCCAGGTGCTTCCTCCTGGTCTCCCATGTGGGTGCAGGGCCTAAGCACTTGGGCCATCCTCTGCTGCCTTCCCTGGCCACAGCAGAGAGCTGGTCTGGAAGAGGAGCAACCGGGACAGAATCCGGTGCCCCGACCGGGACTAGAACCCGGGGTGCCGGCGCTGCAGGCGGAGGATTAGCCTAGTGAGCCACAGTGCTGGCCTCTCTCACTTTTTATACCCCAATCAAACCAAACTTCTTTGTGCCTCATTCTCTCTCATCTCTGAGAACTTTTGCTATTTGCTCTGTCTCAAATTCTCCTCCCCCTTCTCGCTTGCCTTACCCCCATGGCTTCCAATCCATTGAAAGAAATGCAATCTACCAAGGCAGGCATCTGCAGATACACCAGCACATCTCATGGTGTGTGCTGTCCCAGAGGCACAGACACGTGCTGGGGACACGTAAGGGGGCGGAATGAAGTTTCTGAGAGAATGCTAGAAACCATGGTCACGAGTGTGGGAAAGTCTCAGTTGGAGAGGAAATGAGTTCAATTTTAGATGTACTAGCTAAACACTAACTGGATGTTTACCACATCCTGGGCAGTGTTCCAAGCTTCCTGTATATGTCAGTTTATTTAGTTTTCATAAGAACCATTATCCCCATTGTAGAGCTGGAAACTCGGTCAGTGGTGATAACATCATTTCCCAAGGCTAGCTGCGATGGAAGAAACAAATTTGAATCCTAAACCCATTCTCTCTCTCTCTCTGATTTTGAACTTTTACTATGAAAAAAATCAGATCTTTAGAAAGTTTGAAGAATATTGCAATGAACTCCCTTCATTTAGATTCACCCAGTATTAACATTTTCTCATGTTTGCTTTATTGTTGTTCTTTTGCTTTTGTTTTTGCTGAACTACTTGGAAATAAGTTACAAAACTGCTTTCCTTCATCCCTAAATATTAAAATGTGTCTCCCCTCAGGAAGAGAGCATTCTGGTATTTAATTTCAGTGTACTATGTCGAGGAAAGTTACATTGATAGTATACTATTACTTAACACGTAGTTTATATTCAAACTCAAATGATTGTCCAATACTATTCCCAACTCTTAACCACATCTCTCCCCACTCCCTACTAATCTGGGATCTAATCGCAGATCACACGCTGGATTTAGCCGTGCTGTTGCCTGTAATCCAGAACTCAGCCTTTCTGTGTCTTTCATGACACTGACATTTAGAAAGAAGACAGGCTTCTTGTTTTGTACAATGCTCCTTATTTTGGGTTGTCTTTTTCCTCATGAGTATATTCAGGTCATGCATTTTGGCAGGAACACTATGTAAATGATGTTGTGTCCTTTTGAATGTGCACATTTTTTACAAAAAGATTTATTTATTTGAAAGGCAGAAAGAGAGGGGGCGGTGAGAGAGAGGGAGAAAGAGATATCTTCTATTTGCTAGTCCACTCCCCAAATAGCCACAATGGCTGGGACTGGGCCAGGCCCAAGCCAGAGCCTAGAACTCCGTCCAGGTCTCCCATGCTGTTGGAAGGGGCCCAGGTACTTGGCCATCTGCTGCTCCTCTCCCAGATGCATTAGTGGGGAACTGGATCAGAAGTGGAACAACTTGGACTTGAACCAGTCCTCTGATATGGGATGCCAGCATTGCAAGCAGCAACTTCTACTGTGCGCCCCTGAGCCTGCACTTTCAACACTACAGCGTGCTAAGTGTGAGGTCCGTGGCATGCTGGAGGCTATGGGACATGCAGCTTGGAGCTCTAAATATGAGCTTCAACTAGACTGATGTGAAATTCCTCTCTGAATTGGGCGGTGGGCTCACTCAGTGAACTGAGGAATAGTTCCAAGGGTCCTGAACATTTAAGGGATGGGAAGGGAAGGGAAGAGGGGAAGAAGGGAGAGACATGGGTTATCTGTGGAGAAGACTGAGAAGGGGCTGGCTGAGAAAAGGGAGGTGATCAGTGAGTTTATCGTCCCAGAAGTTGAGGGAGGAGGGCGTTTCAGGAGGTATGGGGTGGTCAGCTTCTTCAGAGACATTTGGTAAAGTGAAGCCTGAGGATGTACATGGCCTGTGGAAGCTAAGTTTGTCAGTGACAGCAGAAGAAAGTCCAGTGAAGGCGTGGTGGAGATGGCAGAAGAGGCGTGTGACAGAGGCTGAGGGTAAGAAAGCTTTTTCCAGGTACCATTAGTGCTGCAGTGTGAAGACAGAAAGACCAGGGAGTCGGCAAGTGTGCCCAGCCAGTGCCTCCTCAGTGGTTCAGAGCACAGGCTGCGCCTGGAGCCTGGCGTTGGATGCAGGGAGTCCTGGCAGGCAGAGGGAGGACAGCTGGGGGAACTCAGGCCGAGGGGTCTTGGAAATTGGTTCTTCTTTGCTGCAGATGTCTGAGGAACTCAGGCAGTTACATACTGGGAAACGGTTCATTCTTATTTTTGGCCTCACGGTACTGAGGGGACTTCTCTTTTGGGTCATGGGCTAGGGATAAGGCAACTTCATGGGTTCCTCTGTGCTCTCATTGAGATCTGCTTCTTGCACCAAGCCAGGTTCAGGATTTCAGCAGGTGCATAGCCACTTGGTAAGGATTTAGGCATTTTTTATGAACTTGGCCCAGTGTCTGGAACTGCTTTGGGTTTATCTGAATACTGGAACCTCCTTTCCCCTCCAAGAGTCAGGGCTTGTGAGACAGTATTTTTTGACATCCTAAGAGTTATGCTTCATGATCAGATTATTTGATCAGACGAAATTCCCTAACCTTCCCCAAAGCTGACATGCCAGGGCTTTTTGATCTATGTGTGTAACACGTACATGAGCGCCTTTTGTGCATCAAATACTAGGTGAGGCAGTGGAGAACACAACAGTGAACAAGACTCACATGACCTGGTGCTAGTGTTATGGCACAGTGGTCAAGGTGCCACGTGGGATGCCTGCATCTCATAGGGAGTGCCTGAGCTCAGATCCCGGCTCTGCTTCTGATCCAGCTTCCTGGTGATGTGAACCTTGGAGACAGCAGATCATAGTTCAAGTATTTGGGTCCCTGCCATCCATGTGAGAAATGTGGATGGAGTTTGGGGCTCTTGGCTTTGGCCTTGTGCAGCCCTAGGTGTCATGAATGTCTGAGGAGTGAACCCATAGATGGAAGATCTCTCTGTGTCTCTCTGCCTTTCAAATAAATAGAAATAAATACAACTTAGAGAAAAGACATACATGGCCCCCTCTGTATTAAGCTTGTGGTTGGTGGGTTGGGCACTGTGGTACAGTAGGTTAAGCCACCACTTGGAATACCCACATCCCATATTGGTGTGCCTGGGATCGAGTTCTGACTCCACGTCCAATCCATCTTCCTGCTGACGCATGCCCTGGGAGGCAGCAGATGATGGCTCAGTACCTGGGTTCCTGCCACTCATGTGGGAGACCTGGATGGAGTTCTTGGCTCCTGGTGTTGGCCTGGACTGGCCTTGGGTGTTTGGGGAGTGAACAGTGGATGGAAGATCTGTCTCTTATTTTGTGTGGCTATGCCTTTCAAATAAATAAAATGTGAAGATATAGACTTAGGGTCTGTGGGCAGGTGTTTTTCCTAGCAGTCACATTGCTGCATCTCATACTGTAGTGCCTGGGTTTGAGTCTTGGCTCTGCCTCCTGATTCCAGCTTCCTGTTAATACAAGCCTGGGGAGGCAGTGGTGGTGACTCAAATAGTTGGGTCCCTGCCACCTATGTGAGACCTGGATGGAGTTCTTAACCCAGCCCAGCCCCTGCCACTGTGGGTACTGGGGGGTAAGCTAGAGAGAAGATGGAGGCTCTCTTTCTGTGACAGTCTCTGCCTCTCAGATGAAGCGAAATAAAATAAAAAACTTACAGTTTAGTAAGAGTCATAAAAATAAGAAGCAAACAGGTAAGTGAATAAAATACTTACTGTAGGAAGAAGTATAAAGGACATGAATAGGGCATTGAAAAGCAGGGTCACTGGGTAAGGAGAGCAACGTTAAATTCATAGTGAATTAAGGTAATGCTCGCTGATGAAACAGGTAAGCCCCAAATCACTGGTGTGTAAGACAGCAGGTCTGACTGCCGTATGAAGGCTAATCAGGGACAAACAGCGGCTCTGTTCCACATAGTCACATCAGGGGCCTAGGGCAGTAGAGTTTCTAATTTTTTTTTTATTTTTTATTTTTTTTACAGGCAGAGTTAGACAGTGAGAGAAAGAGACAGAGAGAAAGGTTGGTTCACCCCCCAAATGGCCGCTACAGCCAGCACTGCGCCAATCTGAAGCCAGGAGCCAGGTGCTTCCTCCTGGTCTCCCATGCGGGTGCAGGGCCCAAGCACTTGGGCCATCCTCCACTGCACTCCCAGGTCATAGCAGAGAGCTGGCCTGGAAGAGGAGCAACCGGGACAGAATCCAGTGCCCCGACTGGGACTAGAACCCGGGGTACTGGTGCCACAGGCGGAGGATTAGCTAAGTGAGCCACAGCGCCAGCCTGCTTTTTTTTTTATTTGAGGAGAGAAGGGAGAGAGAGAGGAAGAAAAAGAAAGAGAAACAGAAAGAGGAAGAATGATTTTTCCCATTCACCGTTTTGTTTCCCAAACGGCCAGAGGCAGGAGCTGGGAACTCAGTGCAGGTCTCCCACCAGGATGGCAGGAACCCAGTGAGTTGAGTCCTCAGCACGGCCTCCCCCAGCTGCAGGCAGGAACTGAACCCAGGTCTACAGCCATCCCACCCTGAACGCCCTGGTCTCGTCTGACCTCGGGAACTGAACCCAGGTCTACAGCCGTCCCACCCTGAACGCCCTGGTCTCATCTGACCTCGGGAACTGAACCCGGGTCTACAGCCGTCCCACCCTGAACGCCCTGGTCTCGTCTGACCTCGGGAACTGAACCCGGGTCTACAGCCGTCCCACCCTGAACGCCCTGGTCTCATCTGACCTCAGGAACTGAACCCAGGCACTCTCATGGAGCATCCTAACCACACCCTCACCACTAGGCCGAGGGCCTGCCCCCGCCATCTTTTTGTTTGCTTGTGAAGATTTATTGTTTTATTATTTGATAGAATTATACAGAGAGAAGGAGAGAGAGAGAATCTTTCACCTGCTTGTTCACTTCCGAGATGGCTACAATGGGCAGTGCTGGGTCAGGCCGAAGCCAGGAGCTTCTTCCAGGTCTCCCATGTGGGTGGCAGAAGCCCCCCCAACCCACTGCCCACTGTCCTGATCCCATGGCATCCTTGCCTGTTTGCACAACCAGCGTGATGGGAAGAGTCAGGACCTCATCTGGGAAGTTTTCACAGGCCAGGTGTGAAAGCTTTGTGCAAAGATATACACACAAGGGGACCGGCACTGTGGCATAGTGTGCTAAGCTTCTGCCTGCAGAGATTCATGTCCTGGCTGCTCCTCTTCTAATACAGCTCTCTGCTATGGCCAGGGAAAGCAGTAGAAGATGGCCCAAGTGCTTGGGCCCCTGCACCCATGTGGGATACCCAGAAGAAGCTCCTGGCTCCTGCTTCAGATCGGCTCAGCTCTGGCTGTTGGCGACCATTTTGGTAGTGAACCAGCAGATGGAAGACCTTTCTGTCTCTCCCTTTCTCTGTCTGTAAGTCTACCTCTCAAATAAATAAATCTTTTTTTTTATTTTTTAAAAGATTTATTTATTTATTTAAGAGGTAGGGTTACAGAAGTGAGAAGGAGAGACAGAGAGAAAGGTCCTTCTTCCTCTGGTTCACTCCCCAAATGGCCACAATGGCTAGAGCTATGCCAATCCAGAGCCAGGAGCTTCTTCCAGGTCTCTCACATGGGTGCAGGGGCCCAAGGACTTGGGCCATCTTCTACTGCTTTCTCAGGCCATAGCAGAGAGCTGGATTGGAAGAAAAGCAGCCCAGAATAGAACTGGCGCCCATATGGGATTCCGGCGCCACAGGCAGAGGATTAACCTACTGCACAACAGCGCAAGCCCCATAAATAAAATCTTAAAAAAAAAAAAAAGATATATATCCACGAGTTTTCTCTTATTAGTAAAAAGAACATGTGAAGTTTATTTTGTTAGTAAAAAGAATCTTTGTAGATATAATTTAAGGTTCTTGAGATGACAAGATGACGTAGGTGGGCCCTAAATGCTATTGTGAGAGACAGAACTGCTTTTTTCTGTATCATACTGCTTTTATGTTCTTTCGTGGAGGGGTGTATGTTGCCTACTTGATGGAACCCTCACTTGGAATGTGTTGATATCTGTTATGATCGTGGCTGTGCTAGGCCCCGAGTAAGCACAGACAGGGCACACTCTCTGCCCTTCAGCATGCAGTTCAGAAGGCGCTTACCTATGTTTTGTGTTGTCTCCCAGGAGCCTTGTTGGACACAAGTGTGAGGTGATGGCTAATAGTCTGTTAATGATTTGGTTGATAGTGGCTGTACATCTGACTTGAAAGGGTTCATGTTTTGTTAAACTTGTCTTCTCAGCTGCCCGAGGAGCTCCACTTGGGACTGTAAGTTACCGGATCGGCCCTTCAGGGATTTATGTCATTGCTAGAGAGGGGAACATGTGCACTCCACAGGCACCTTGTCAAGGTAACGTATGGTGCGGTGCTTCTTCTCTGGAGGGGGGACAGTCTGCCAGAGGCTCAGAGAGCGACTCATTGCAGCCTTGCCTCCAACTCTGCTGCAGAAGCAGCAGCAGAAGTTGGGTGTGTGTGTGTGGGGGGATTGGAAAAGGGTCAGGTCTCTGACTTTGTTTCCAGACTGAAACCTAGTGGCAAGCCAGCAAGTGACTGGGCCTAAATTCAGGCTTGCTTTCTGTGGTTATGTACCAATGCGGAGCGCACTAGGCAATTCCTGCCGCAGCCTAGGCAGGGGACAAAGGCTTTTGCCACTTCCCCTTCTGCATTTTACACTGGCATAGCCATCCTGCCTGTGCCCTGCCTTTCAAGCTCACTGAGGATCAAGCCCTGGGCTTTGTGCCTGCTCACAGTTGCTGAGTCTAGTTTCTGGGAGGTCAGAAACCAGTGAGTCTAGATCTACTACCTTCTGATGGGCCACAAAGGGTCTCCTAATGCTACCACAGCCCCCAAAATCTGGGCCGTTTCTTGAGTTCTTTTTGGAGCATGATGTGCATGTCCATGGGCTTTTAGTTTTGTGTACAACTAATGGTTACTAATGTAACCTTAATAATTATCTTGGGTTTTGAAAGGTCATTAAAATCTGATATTTATAATATAAAAATGGTGTTGCTAGGTTTAAAATTTTTTATTGAGGTGAATTCACATAACATACAGTTAACCATTTTAAAATATACGATTCAGTGGTATTTAGTGTAAAATTTAGTTGTATTTAGTGTATTTACAGTGTTATGTAACCACCAGATCTTTCTAGTTTCAAACTTTCTCATCATCGTATTCACTAAGTAATACTGCTCTCCACTGCCCACTCCTTGGTATTCTCTAATGTGCTTTCTGTCTGTGTGGATTCACCTCTTGTGGATCTATCACATAAAGCAAATCAAATGGGGGTGGGCGTTGCGGCACAGTGGGTTAAGCCACCACTGGCACTTCCCTTGTAGGAGTGCTGGCCTGAGTGCAAGCTACTCTGCTTTCCAATCCAGCTCCCTACTAACATGCCTAGGAAGCAGCAGAGGATGGCCCAAGTCCTTAAGTGCCTGCCACCCACGTGGGAGACCCGGATGGAGTTCTCAGCTCCTGGCCCAGCTCAGGCTGTTGCCCATTTGAGGAGTGAACCAACAGATGGAATACCTCTTTCCCCCTCCCCCCTTCCCTCTCTCCCCTTTTCCCTCCTTCCTTCCTTCCTTCTCCCATTCCCTTTCCCTCCCCCTCTCTCTCTGTCACTGTCTTTCAAATAAATAAATAAATATATTTTAAATATTTATCTATTTATTTGAAAGTCAGAGTTACACAGAGAAGGAGAGGCAGAGAAAGAGAGAGAGAGAGGTCTTCCTTCCGCTGGTTCACTCCCCAACTGGCCACAATGGCCGGAGCTGCGCTGATCCGAAGCCAGGAGCCAGGAGCTTCTTCCAGGTCTCCCACGTGGGTGCAGGGGCCCAAGGACTTGGGCCATCTTCTACTGCTTTCCCAGGCCACAGCAGAGAGCTAGATTGAAAGTGGAGCAGATGGGACTTGAACTGGCGCCCATATGGGATGCCAGCACTGCAGACAGCAGCTTTACCCACTCTGCCACAGTGCTGGCCCCTATTTTTTTTTTAAAGATCATATGATATGTGACCTTTTGTGTTTGGCTTATCTCACATAGGATAATGTTTTTAGTGTTCACCCAAGTTGGAGCATGAAGCAGTACTTCATTCCTTTTTGTGGCTGAGTAATGTTCAGCAGTATGTGTGTACAGTGTGTAATACTTTGTCCATTCATCTGCTGATGGACATTTGGCTTGTTTCCACCTTTTGACTATTATGAATAATAACTGTTACAAACAGTTGTATGTAAATTTCTGTGAGACATACATTTTCATTTCTCTTGGATATATACCTAGGAGTAGAAGTACTGGGTCATGTGGCCATATATAACTCCATAACTCTTTTTAAAGTATTTTATTTGTATTTATTTGAAAGGCAGAGTGACAGAGAGAGACAGACAGATCTTCCATCCTCTGGTTCACTTCTCAAATGGGTGCAATGCCAAGTCTGGGCCAGGCTGAAGCCAGGAGCCTGAAACGCTATCCAGGTCTCCCATGTGCGTGCAGGGGCCCAGGCACTAGGACCATCTTCCACTACTTTCCCAGGTACTCTAGCAGGGAGCTGGATTGGAAATGGGGCAGTAAGGACTTGAACAGGTGCTCTGATATGGGATTCTAGCAGGCAGTGACTTAACCCACTGTGCCAAAATGCCAGCCCCTCTGTAACTTTTTTTCTTTAAATATTTTATTTGTTTATTTGAAAGGTAGTGTTACAGACAGTGAGAGGGAGAGACAGAAATAAAGGTCTTCCACCCACTGGTTCACTCCCCAAATGGCTGCAATGACCGGAGGTGTGCCGATCCAGAGCCAGGATCCAGGAGCTTCTTCTGGGTCTCCCACACGGGTACAGGGGCCCAAGCGCTTGAGCCATCTTCCACTGCTTTCCCAGGCCATAGCAGAGAGCTGGAGGGGAAAAGGAGCAGCCGGGACTCAAACCAGCGCCCATAGGGTTGCTGGTGCACAGGCGGAGGATGAACCTACTGCACCACAGAGCAGGCCCCCCTCCATAACTTTTTAAGGAACCACCACATTGTTTCCTACAATGCTTCACTCTATTTTCTATTCCTGCTAGCAGTATACAAAGGTTTCTATTTTCCCACATCCTCTCCAACACTTGTTTTTTTAATGTAGCCGTCTTAGTGGCTACGAAGTGTTTCACACTGTGGTTTTAACTTTGATTTCCGCAAAAACCAGTGGGGCTGAGCATATTTTCATGTGCTCATTGACTCTCATATCTTTGGAAGTTGTCTATGCAAGTTCTTTGACCACTTTTTTTAAGATTTATTTAGTCTGTTACATAAATATATAATAATAATAATAAAGATTTTTATTTATTTACTTGAAAGTCAGAGTTACACACACACACACACACACAGGTCTTCCATCTGCTGGTTCATTCCCCAATTGGCCACAATGGCCGGAGCTGGGTCAATCCAAAGCCAGGAGCCCGGAGCTTCTTGCAGGTCTCCCACGCAGATGCAGGGGCCCAAGCACTTGGGCCATCTTCTACTGCTTTCCCAGGCCATAGCAGAGAGCTGGATCAGAAGTGGAGGAGCTGGGTCTCGAACCAGCGCCCATATGGGATGCTGGTGCTTCATGTCAGGACGTTAACCTGCTTTGCCACAGCGCAGGACCCATGACCACTTTTAAATTTAGTTGCTTGTCCTTTTGTTGTTGAGTTGCAAGCATTCCTTATATATGCTTGACATTAAACCCTTATCAAATATGGAATATGCAAGTATTTTAGGTTATCTTTTATATTTTTGATAATGTACTTTGATATCCAGAAATTTTCAATTTTTATTAAATTTATGTATTCTCTTGTTGCTCATGCTTTATTTATTTGACAGGTAGAGTTATAGACAATGAAGGAGAGAGACAGCACAGAGAAAGGTCTTTCTTCTGTTGGTTCACTCCCCAAATGGCCGCTACGGCCGGTGCTGTGCCGATCCGAAGCCAGGAGCCAGGTGCCTCTTCCTGGTCTCCCATGCTGGTACAGGGGCCCAAGCACTCGGGCCATCCTCCACTGCCCTCCCGGGCCACAGCAGAGAGCTGGATTGGAAGAGGAGCGACCAGGACTAGAACCTGGCGTCCATATGGGATACTGGTGCCACAGGCAGAGGATTAACCAAGTGAGCCACAGCGCCAGCCCTGGGTGTTTTTTTGTTTTTTGTTTTTTTTTTTTGTTTTTTAAAGATTTATTTGCTGCCGGCGCCGCGGCTCACTAGGCTAATCCTCCACCTTGCGGCGCTGGCACACTGGGTTCTAGTCCCGGTCGGGGTGCCGGATTCTGTCCCGGTTGCCCCTCTTCCAGGCCAGCTCTCTGCTGTGGCCAGGGAGTGCAGTGGAGGATGGCCCAAGTCCTTGGGCCCTGCACCCTATGGGAGACCAGGATAAGTGCCTGGCTCCTGCCATCGGATCAGCGCGGTGCGCGCGGACCGCAGTGGCCATTGGAGGGTGAACCAACGGCAAAGGAAGACCTATCTCTCTGTCTCTCTCTCACTGTCCACTCTGCCTGTCCAAAAAAAAAAAAAAAAAGATTTATTTGCTTATTTGAAAGGCAGAGTTACAGAGAAGCAGAGGCAGAGACAGAGAGAGAGGTCCTCTATCCACTGATCCACTCCCTAGATGGCTGCAACAGCCGGAGCTGTGCCAATCTGAAGCCAGGAGCCAAGGGCTTCTACCAGGTCTTCCACACAGGTGCAGGGGCCCAAGGACTTGGGCCATCTTCTGCTGCTTTCTCAGGCTATAGCAGAGAGCTGGATCAGAAGTGGAACAGCCAGGACTTGAACCAGCACCCATGTGGGATGCTGGCACTGCAGATGGAGGCTTTACCGCTATGCCACGATGACAGCTCCTTAGGTATTAAGAATCTGGGGCCGGCTCTGTGGCATAGCAGGTAAAACCACTGCCTGCAGTGCCGGCATCCTATCTGGGTGCTGGTTCGAGTCCTGGCTGCTCCTCTTTCAATCCAGCTCTCTGCTGTGACCTGGGAAAGCAGTAGAAGATGGCCCAAGTGCTTGGGCCCCTGCACCTGCGTGGGACACCTGGAAGAAGCTCCTGGCTCCTGGCTTCAGATCGGCCCAGCTATGGCTGTTGCAGCCATCTGAGGAGTGAAACAGCGGAAGGAAGACCTCTCTCTCTCTACCTCTGCCTCTCTGTAACTCTGCTTTTCAAATAAATAGATAAAGCAGCCTGGACTTGAACTACTGCTCAGATAAGTGATGCTGGCGTCAGGGTTGCAGGCAGAAGCTTGACCTGGCGTTCCACAATGCTGGCTCCAGAACTTTTTTTTTTTTTTTTTTTTTTTTTTTTTGACAGGCAGAGTGGACAGTGAGAGAGAGAGACAGAGAGAAAGGTCTTCCTTTACCGTTGGTTCACCCTCCAATGGCCGCCGCAGCCGGCGCGCTGCGGCCGGCGCACTGTGCTGATCCGATGGCAGGAGCCAGGTGCTTCTCCTGGTCTCCCATGGGGTGCAGGGCCCAAGCACTTGGGCCATCCTCCACTGCACTCCCTGGCCACATCAGAGAGCTGGCCTGGAAGAGGGGCAACCGGGACAGAATCCGGCGCCCCGACCGGGACTAGAACCCGGTGTGCCGGCGCCACAAGGCGGAGGATTAGCCTAGTGAGCCATGGCCCCAGAACTTCTTAAATAAAATGTGTGTCTGACATTTCTGTCTGTTGTAATCCACTGTTATTTGTAGTCTTGTTACTGGCTTCTGCTCCAGAGAAGGTGATCTCTACTCTGAGTCTATTCACCTGTCTTTCTGTATTTGGTGGGGAGAGGGGGTGGCTTGCTTTGTGACCTCGATTATTTGATGGATCCAAAAAATAGTATTAACTGAGAAGAACGATACCTGCAATGCAGGAATCAAATGCTGTTTCTTTACCAATCCTGTACAGCATTCTAAGCAGTTGGCTTAAGCATAAATAGAAGTTATAGGACAATACTTTTAAAATGAGGGGGCTGGTGCTGTGGTGTCACAGATAAAGCCACCTTCTGTAGCACTGGCATCTCATGGCACTGGTTCGAGTCCTGCTGTTCCACCTCCGATCCTGATCCCTAATGGCCTGGGAAAGCAACAGAAGCTGGCCTAAATGCTTGGGCTCCTGTACCCACCTGGGAGACCCAGAAAAAGCTCCTGGCTCCTGGCTTCAGATCAGCCCAGCTCCGGCCATTGCGGTCATTTGGGGAGTGAACCAATGGGTAGAAGATCTTGCTCACTCACTGTAACACTGCCCTTCAAATAAATAGATAAATCTTTTAAAAAAATTGTCCTTTCACCTTGACCCAGTAAAAGGTCGCTGTGGAAAATGAAGTCCAAAGAAGCAAAGCTCATGTTTATTGGGCTGTTAACTGGAAAGTTGGAAACAACATGCTTTCCAACCACATGGAGATTATGTAGCCTCTATCCCATATGATGACATATTATCCAGCTTTCTTAAAAAAGAAAAATTGGCTGGCGCTGTGGCCCACTGGGCTAATCCTCTGCCTGTGGCACCGGTACTCCGGGTTCTAGTCCTGGTTGAGGCGCCGGATTCTGTCCTGGTTGCTCCTCTTCCAGTCCAGCTCTCTGCTGTGGCCCGGGAAGGCAGTGGAGGATGGCCCAAGTGCTTGGGCTCTGCACCCGCATGGGAGACCAGGAGAAAGCACCTGGCTCCTGGCTTCGGATTGGTGCAGCGCACTGGCCTTAGTGGCCATTTGGGGGGTGAACCAATGGAAGGAAGACCTTTCTCTCTGTCTCTCTCACTAACTCTGCCTATAAGAAAAAAAAAAGAAAGAAAGAAAGAAAAATTATCCAGTTTTTAATTTGTGATGTAAAGTAGCATAAAGCTCATAAAAAAGCCAGATAAAAATATATGGTTCATATAAGCATGATTATATAACAAAAGAGATTCATGAAGATTCCACAAGGAAAAATACCAGAATATTGTCTTTGGTGATAAAATTGTAGGTGGCTTTTTTTTTATTCACCTTTTATGTTTTCTTAATGCATATTTCTCATTGAGCATAATTATTCATAACCAAACTATAACACGTGCGATATCTGTTCACACCTGTAAGTAGTGTGCGGATCTAACTGTAATATCGTTGATTTGAAGCCCTCCACGACAGGAAGTGATAAAGCCTTCAATTGGTGGCTGAAGGAAAAGGCTTCAGTGTTACTCCACCTGAATTCTCTTGCATTAATTTGTTTTAGCACTTTTTATATATATAAAAAAAATCTCTCTCACTCCTTGCGCACAAGGTCGCTGATTCTTTCCCCTTCTGGTATTCCCAGTGATTGTCTATGGAGCACCCTCTTCTGCCTACGGAGCCCCGCCTCCTGTATATGCAGCCCCGCCTCTTGGATATGGACCCCCTCCCACCGGCTACGGAGCCCCGCCTCCTGGCTATGGAGCCCCTCCCATTGGCTATGGAGCCCCGCCTCCCATTTATGGAGCCCCTCCCATTGGCTATGGAGCCCCACCTCCCATTTATGGAGCCCCGCCTCCTGGATATGGAGCCCCGCCTCCCAGCTATGAAGTCCAGCCAGTGGGATTGGGAGCCCCATCCTCCAGATATCAAGCCGCTCCTGCAGGAAACGAAGCCCAGCCGTCGGGAGGTGAAGCCTCGCCCGGGCCTGGGGTGCCCGGAGTCGTGCCAGCAGAATCCGGAGCCGGGGCTCCCGGGTCTGTGGCAGCACAGCGACCAGGCTAGGAGACTGCTCTTCCCTCTCCCTCGTCTCGGGCCTGTCCCCAGGCGTCTAAGATGCAAACACTGAAGATTCACCAAGCAAGGTAGCACCGCTCAGTTGAGGTCAGGATGAGGATCGGGTATCAGCACAGGCCCATGCGGGGTCGTTGTCCCAGCGCCTGGGAAGGTGCAGCCTTCCTCCGAGCCTAGGTTTTAGAAGCGGTCGCCTCTAAGTAACTGGGCAGAAGGCAGAGTAGCGCTGTGCGGGTGACTCCCAGTACTGTGGTGGCTTTGGCCCCACTGCAAGCACAGTTGGCTCGTAAGTCTGGAAAAACGTCCTGCTTTTCTCCCCTTTCCCATTCAAGAGACGCGTGTTATGTTCCGCTTGCTAGGCGCTGAGATGCGTGCTAAATGATCACGTTGGACATTAACTTGTTTTTCACTATATATTAGTGAAAGGATGGACATATCTGGTAGTAAAACACAGTTTCATAATGTGCTGCATTCATGCAATGGAGGACTGTACAGCCATTGACAGTGACGTCTAGAGGTAGAGCAAGCCTTTGTGAAGACCACAGTAGAACAAAGCAGTGAAGGAAAGTAATAAAGGAAGAGAGCGATAATTTTTGACTTTATCAAAATTTAAAACTTTGACATGGCAAGAGCTAAAAGATAGGCAGCAGACGAGGCGAAAGTCACTTCTAACTGTATATTAAACAGTTTATTATCAGAATATATATGAAGAGCTACAGATCAACCCAAAAGAAGAGAAATGGACACAGGAATTACCAATAAACCAGGAAATAGCGTGGCCAGAATACATGTGAAAGATGCTCACCTAGACTAGCATTAGGGAAACGCAACTAGAAATGCGAAGCCACTTTTACTAGGTTTGCAGTTTATCTGAAGGGAGCATTTCCCATCTTCATTTCCGTCCGGAGAACAGTTGCATAGTCCCAAGAGGCAAAGTGGGAAGGTTTCATGCAATCATGTTTCTTTTTTTTTTTTTTTTTTTTTTTTTGACAGGCAGAGTGGACAGTGAGAGAGAGAGACAGAGAGAAAGGTCTTCCTTTGCCGTTGGTTCACCCTCCAATGGCCGCCGCTGCAGCCGGCGCACCGCGCTGATCCTGGCAGGAGCCAGGAGCCAGGTGCTTTTCCTGGTCTCCCATGGGGTGCAGGGCCCAAGCACCTGGGCCATCCTCCACTGCACTCCCTGGCCATAGCAGAGAGCTGGCCTGGAAGAGGGGCAACCGGTACATTCATTGTTTCTAACAGCCCAAAGTTAGCAGTACTCTAATGCCCATTAATAACAATATATAAACTGTAATACACCCATGCTACCTATGCAGAGATCTCCAAGGCTTGGTGTTAAATGAGAAAAGCAAGGAATATATACCATAGTAACATTCAAACACATGAGACCAAATGTCCCCTTTTATAGCAAGACTTTGTGACATTTATATTTTAAAAAATATTTATATCAGTTTATATTTCTATATTGTAAGAAATATTCATATAACAAATCTTTGGTAATATCTCCTTCAGTGAAATTTGTAGACAAGTGCATATAATTCCATACCATTTCAACCAAAATCAATATAATACTACAATAAGTATGACATGAGGAGGAAATAAAAGTAGTTTATAACAACATTTATTTTTTAATTAATTTTTTTTATTTCAAAGGCAGAAAGAGAAGGAAAAGAGATCTTTGTCCTGCTGATTTACTCCCTAAATGTCCCCAAAAGCTGAGAGAGGGCCAGGCTGAAGCCAGGATCCAGGAACTCAATCTGGGTCTCCACAGTGGGTGGTGGGACCCCACTACTTGAGCCATCACCACTACCTCCAGGGGTCTGTTTAGTAGGAAGCTGGAGTAGGGGCCAGATTCAGGACTTGAACCTGGGTATGCTGATGTGAACAATGGACGGCTTAACCACTAGGCTAAATGTGTACGCCTTCAGTAAAATATTAAGTATTTTAACACATAAAAGTCACGTCTCCCCACACTGGCGGACATACTGCAGAAATCGAGGCTCGCCTGCCATACATAGGCTCACTGCTGGGATCAGCACTAGAAATGCCAACTGATAGGGCCGTGTTGCATTTGGTGACTTGAATATCGTGCTGTGAGCAATGTTTTCCAAAATAGTGAACAGTCCTGGAAAAATTTCCAAGTAAAGTTTAGCTTCCCTTTCATTTACAGAGTTGAATCCCTGAAAAGTTCTGTGTATATTAAGATCATGTTAAACAGGGCTGGACTTTAGGCTCACCTACAGCAGAGGCTGGAGATCCATCTGAGAGTCATGAGGGAGCGTAGGACAGTTCTTTGGCACGAGGGACCGCCTGTGCCTTTCAGAATGTCTAGCTTCCTTGATCTCTTACCCACTAAACCCCAGTAGTGGCCTCCAATTGTGATGGCTAAAAATGCCCCTACTTGTTTCCTGATTGCCTGCTGGGGGCAGTAGCATCTTGGCTGAGAACCACTGTTCTGGACTCTCCATTCTCCCACTTTGGCCAACTCCTTATTTCATTGGCCTTTCCTTACTGTCTTGTAGACTCACTAAGCCACCTAAAAATGAGGCCTTAAAACCAAAGTATAAGTCAAGTGTTTTTATAAAGGATACAACAGATAACAAGAGGGTCCAGGGCCTCAAAGTCTACAGTGTTATTGGACCACAAGACATTTAAGTCAATATTTTTATGCATATTTTGTATGTAGTTGAAACTATTCTATAAAATAGTGCTTCACCTGACATTATTTTCCATTTTCATATATTTTTTAGAACTCATAAATGCTGCTAGTGGCTACATAACATTATACACCTTGGTTGTGTACCTGCCCCATAACCTGACTTTTGCCAGGCTTGGCCCCAGCTATTGCGAAGAAGAGGATAGAAGATCTCTCTCTTTTTTTTTGGTCACTCTACTTTTCAAATAAATTATTTTTTTATAAAGATTTATTTATTGGCCGGTGCCGTGGCTCAATAGGCTAATCCTCCGCCTGTGGCGCCGGCACACCGGGTTCTAGTCCCGGTCGGGGCACTGGATTGTGTCCCGGTTGCTCCTCTTCCAGGCCAGCTCTCTGTTGTGGCCCAGGAGGGCAGTGGAGGATGGCCCAAGTGCTTGGGCCCTGTACTGCATGGGAGACCAGGAGAGGCACCTGGCTCCTGGCTTCAGATCAGCGCGGTGCACTGGCTGCAGTGGCCATTGGTGAACCAACAGAAAAAAGGAAGACCTTTCTCTCTGTCTCTCTCTCTCTCTCACTGTCCACTCTGCCTGTCAAAAAAAAAAAAAAACAAAAAAACAAAAAAAAACATTTATTTGAAAGGCAGAGTCGCAGAGGCAGAGAAAGTGAGCGAGCGAGAGAGGACTACCATCTGCTGGTTCACTCCCCAAACGGCTGCAAGGGTCTGACTTGGGCTGATTCGAAACCAGGAGCCTGGAGCTTCTTCCGGGCCTCCCACATGAGTGCAGGGTCCCAAGGATTTGGGCCATCTTCAACTGCTGTCCCAGGCCACAGCAGAGCTGGATTGGAAGTAGAGCAGCTGAGACTCAAACCGGCGCCCATATGGGATGCCGGCACTGCAGGCGGCAGCTTTACTCACTACCCACAGCACTGGCCCCTCAAATAAATTATTTAAAAAAGATTTTCCCTTGTGTTATCTTCTAGGAGTTTCACCATTTCAAGTTTTATGTGTAAGTTGTTAATATATTTTGAAATAATTTTTGTGTATGCTGTGAGGTAGAGCAGAACGGTTGCTGGGTTGCTGCAAGACTTGGGTTCATTTCTAGAGTTCTGTGGAAGTTGATTCTGTCGTCTGTGGCAGGTTTGTCACTGTCTTTATGGAAGTTGCAAACTTCGGGCAGTTCTGAATGGGGACATCTTTGCTGAGCCCTGTTCCGGAGAGCTTGTTCGGAGGTTCTAGCAGGGGACCGCAGCTACTCGTACACCCTTGACCGAAGACCGGTCCTCCTCTAGCGGGGAAGGTCGTGCTCTTCGACCCAGCACACAGCTTTGGGAGGGAAGCACATGGAGGGGTGAGGGAGGACGGGGACACCCGCCCAGCCAGCCCGATCAGCCGCATCAACCCCGGCGATCAGTGGGGTGACAGATGGCGCAGCCAGATCGCCCTCACATCCCGCTGATCCCTGTTCTTAGATCCTGATTCAAGCAAACCACAGAAATGTTTTGAGACAATCGGGAAAAACCGACCACAACTTGGTAATTAAATCATTCTTTGCTTTGTTCAATAGGAAAATAGCATTAAGGTCCTGCATGTTTTTTTAGACTGTTAGATATATGGGAGTGTTTAGGGTTTCTGTTATTTGCTCTCAAATACCAGGGCTCACACACCAGGAAAGCGTGCGGCGGGCAGACATATGAAATACTGGCACCAATGGACGGTAGCTGGTGCTGAGATGGGTCACAGGGAGGTTCGTCATCCCATTTTATTTTTATGTTTGAACATTTCTGTAATAATAAAAACTTTTCTAATAGAGAGGGTATCCTTGTGTCCTGCCTTGGACCAGGACACAAAACAGAAAACAAAGGAGTTCCTAACTGGCCCTGGGTAGGAGAAGGTAAAGCAATGGCCTGGAAGATAGTGTGTGTGTGTGTATGTGTGTGGGAGAGAGAGAGAGAGAGAGAGAGAGAGAGAGAGAGAGAGAGAGAGAATATGATGGATGGGTGCAGAGATGGAAACCACTGGGCGCCCCGAGAACAAGACAAGTGACGCAGCCAGCAGAGACGAGTCTGGAAGGCGAGGGAGTTACTAGCCAAGTCCAGCTCAACCCCAGTCCCAACCCCCGAGTCCATGACCTCAACCCTGGACTCCGCCATGTGCGTTCTCCAGCTGCTTTCCTGGAGCTGGCAGACCAGGTGTTCCCGCCGAGGCCATTCCATTTCGCTTGAACCGCACGATGACCGAGACCCAAAGCTAGAAGTGTGCACAGGAGGACAAGCCTTCGAGGACGGAGGCCTGGGACGAGGCAGGCTCTGTCCCCAGGGAACCCAGCAGCCTCCAGGGAAAGGGACTCAGTCACCAGACCGCGTATCTGGCGACTATCAGCCCAGCTCCCGTGACCCTAAGTGACACTGTAAAATGTGCAACTGCAAGTTCCTGACACCAAACTCTAGAAACAAGGACCTCAGAACCCTGAGGGAGGGGTGTGGGAGGTTCTGCCCAGAAGAGATGCCATAGGGCCAGGGCAGTGCAAGGCCTGGGGTGCTTAGTGTGCCCCCAAGGAGCACCTGGCTAGTGGGAAAGAGCACCCCAGGGAATTAGAGGAGGGGCAGCCAGGGGCCTGCTGTTCTTCCACTGTACCCCTTCCTTAGGTGCAGGAAGTAGATGTTAAGACCAGAGGTCCCCTGAAGTTTGGCTGCCAACACACTTGGGGGATTTGAACCTCCTCTCTGGCCAGGCTAGGAGAGACGTGATAAAGGCTGAGAAGAAGGGGTGGAGCCACTGGCGGGGAGAGCACCGGCGGTTGCGTGAGTGACACTGCTGCCCTGCCTCTCTGGGCGTCACCACGACTGTGCCAGGCAGAGCAAGGAGGGCACCCCAGTGGGAGGCAAGACTGGCATCTCTAGGGAGCCCAGTGTTCAGGTCACTTTCAACCACGAGGGGCCAGACGTTGCCATGCGTCTTCCAGGAGAGCAAGGATTTGAAAGCCACACCCTGTGCAGTGTCAGCTAGCGTCGCGAAGCGCAGGTGCCTGAGGGCCCAGGTCCAGTCCCAAGAATGCGACTAAACAGCAACTTTATTGGTGACCCGAGGGAGCCAGGGTCTCCTTTCTGACCCTCCCTCTCCGGCCGTGTCAGCCTGCAAGGCCTTTTCCAGGCAGGAAAGCTGATCACGTGACTGGTGAGTGTCCTTGGCGAGAGTTCAGAGCTCTGCTCCTGATCGGAAAAGTTCCAAATCCTGATTCCAGAGTCAACAGCAAGGTCAGAGGCTGGAGTCCGGATGGGCAGCAGTGCCCGCGCGCGGGGCTCAGGAGCTGGCCGACTCGTTCAGCAACGCCCGTGGGGCTGTGGAGCTGAGGTAGAGGCCGGGGAGGCCACAGGAAATCACCCCGGGAGGAGTTCCCAAGAGGGCTCACACTTGGGCAGGGCCTGGACACTGGCCCTGAGATTGCACTTTGGGTATGATGGGGTCGGGTCGCCGAGCACTTGCCCTCAGCACGCCGTGCGTGGCTCCAGGGTCTAGGCTCCGCGGGGCGGCCACGGTCTGTCGCACGCCCCAGCTCCTCACTACTGGGGCATCTCCAAGTTCTTGATGGGATACAGGTACCACATCACCACCCCCGAAGGGTTGATGATCACGGTGAAGTTGGTTTCATTCCGCAGGCCGCTGATGACGTCACCGGAGAAGACGTTCTGGGCCTGCAGCGGGGAGGGACGCCCCCGTGCTCTGTGAGGCGGCTGGCTGTGCAGAGACCCCTCAGAGGGGGTCGGTGCACTTCAGCCTGCCTGTCCAGGATTCCCTGCAGAAGCAGGGGCCCACACCTCCCATCACCCCTCCACGGGCAGAACAGATGCCCCAGCACAGGCCATGGAGAAAGCCCCCGCCCTAGGAAAGCTTGAGGAATGTGCCAGAAAAGGCGGCCAACGAGGGGAGGGGCACAGCCTTGGAGGTTAAGGGGACTCTCTCTCTCTCTCTCTTTTTTTTTTTTTTTTTGACAGGCAGAGTGGACAGTGAGAGAGAGAGAGAGAGAGAAAGGTCTCCCTTTTGCCGTTGGTTTGGTTCACCCTCCAATGGCTGCCGTGGCCGGTGTGCCGCGGCCGGCGCACAGCGCTGATCCGATGGCAGGAGCCAGGTGCTTTTCCTGGTCTCCCATGGGGTGCAGGGCCCAAGGACTTGGGCCATCCTCCACTGCACTCCTGGGCCACAGCAGAGAGCTGGCCTGGAAGAGGGGCAACTGGGACAGAATCCGGCGCCCCGACCGGGACTAGAACCCGGTGTGCCAGCGCCGCAGGTGGAAGATTAGCCTATTGAGCCACGGCACTGCCCAAGGGGACTCATTTTTATACCCAGCTCCGTCTGCACAGCCTAGAAACACGGGTCTGGAAAATAGCGCCAGCTTCAGCCCTGAGTGCCTGCAGCTGCCCCACGGGCACCCGCCAGAGGCCCCAAAGCTCCCAGCTCAGGGAGGCCATGGGTGAGCGAGCAGCACCCCAGCAAAGCCCTCCCGGGAAGGCCGAAGCGCTCACCTCATACATCTTGGAGCCAGTGTAGTTCAGCTGCGAGAGGGAGGAGTGGTAGTGGTAGGGCATGTCCGTCCTGCGGCTGAAGAAGACCAGGGCGCTGGCCTCGCCGGACAGCGGCCGCTTGAACACTTCAATGTGGGATTTCTCCTGGGCACAGAAGGTGGCTGCTGGCTGGGGTCCCTTGCGCCTGCAGGTCCTGAAGTCCCCTCCTGGCCCTCCTCTGAGCTCTGAGTCCCTCCAGCCCACAGCCGCTTCTCACACAGAGCACTGGGGAGCATGCCGGAGCCCTACTGCCCCCTCATCAAGTCGGAGGATGCTCACTGACACCTCAGGCCAGCCCCAGGCCCGGACACGGAGCCTCGGGAGCTCGCAGGGCCGCGGAGGACAAACAAAACACATAACTGAGCAGCCACAATGGCCTGAGCGTGAGGGCTGACCTGCAGCAGCTGCCAGCGCTGGGGAGGAGGGCACACAGTGAAGCTGGCCTTCTAGAAGGTTCCCTGGGCTCCTCCTCTGGGCATCACGGTAGCTCCGTGGATTTTCGTACTCGAGAGTTAGGGACCCGTGTAAAGAGCAAAGGCTCGGGGCAACACTGTGGACCTCAGGCAAGTCCTGTTTGTGCCAACGGCGTGGCCTTGGGGTAGTTCCTTAAACTCTCGAACTTTCAGTTTTCCTCATCGGCAAAACAGGGGACGAAAATCTGCCTTGCTGGGAAAATGTTATCTACAACGCCTGGCACACAGTAGGTGCTCAGTAGATACCAGTAGTAGCAGCAGGGTTTGTTGCTAAAGCAGGACCTTAAACTCTAGAGGGAAGCCCTGGTCCTCGGTAGGACATCGTAGATGGGTGCAGCAGCCCTGTGCCTCGGCGTCCCCCTGTGTGCCGTGTCCTGCTCCCCCATGTCCTCGGCGTCCCCCTGTGTGCCGTGTCCTCCCCATGTCCTCGGTGTCCCCCTGTGTGCTGTGTCCTGCTCCCCATGTCCTCGGTGTCCCCCTGTGTGCTGTGTCCTCCCTTTGTCCTGGCCTCCCCCTTTTTGCGGTGTCCTGCTACCCCATGTCCTCGGCTCCCCCTGTAGACTGCACCTCTCCCCACTACTCGGCTCCCGCAAACACTGTGTCCGACTT